TTTAAATGTAGGGCTATGCATGCCTGCCAAGCTAGGCTGTTAGAGATGGGAAATGGACCAGTACGAACTTTGGCAACAATTTCATGCTCATAGGGAAACTGATAACAAGAAAGACGAAAAAGGACAGAGACCTTGGTGTTGAAGTGAATACAAACAAAGTCATGCAGATCTAGTATCTACTCCGAAACATTGTCTTAATGCTGTTACCTGCACACTACTGTGAGAAAGCAGGTATAATAGTTCAGGAATGAGTCAGCTCTGGTTCCCTTGTCCTTGTGAGTCAACGTTTCTTTGAACGTGTGTGTAGTTGGATGACTGACTCTCGGACATACAATACGTCAGTAAACACCTTTCTAGTGAATATTTGAAGCTTATGTGTCATAAAAAAGACAGGTGACTAAATGAGGCTACTAAACGTTATCACACCAAACATTAGCCGCTTTTAGCTTAGCAGTAGTGACGCCAAGCCATGCCACCGTCACATATGAATATCATAAATGTGTTTGCAGCAGAGCTTATTTGTTTGCAATATTCTTGTATCCAATGGAGAACTCCTATTGCTTTTTATCGTGGTGCTAACGTCCGGATCAGCCTACACAAATAGGTCATCACTGCACCACACTATTGTTGTATTGATTCGGACTAATGAACAGTTATAAAAGCCTAAACAACATCATAAGTAGATGTTTGATGCCCTCGACAAAATACCAATATGACCAAAACGTTTCCTGCATTGGTTTCTTTCTTAATCATGACCAGTTGTGTGACATCCAGCCAATGATGGTAGTTTCATCTGCAAACTTCAAAACAGATCAGCATGAACAGGAAGGGGCTGAGCACACTGCCTGGGGGGCTTCAGCAATAGAGTGGAGGAAATGTGACCACCAATCTGAAATGGTCAAAATAAATGGCGTGTTTCTGAGTAAGTCTAAAGTGTGCTACTTTGCAAAGTACTTTGATGGGGAGATTGTGTTGAATGCTGAGCCGAAATCAACAAACAGCAATCTGATGCATTTGTTGTTATGATCGTGGCACACATGTATGAATCTCAATATGTTGAGGTCAAGAGGTACTGCATGTGTTGTTGAGTGTCCTTAGAGAAAGAAATGGTTGGCAGAGTTTTGTGGCTCATGTGTTTTGGCTTGACATAAAAATAAACCACAGCAGTTACCGCTGGACCTGCTATATGGTCTATCGTCCTGTTTATAGTTTTATTAGGTGCCATATTGCATATATTCTATTCTATTCTATTTTATTGTATTTACTTGTACTACTTTATCTGTTTTATTGTGTTGCACTGTTGGAGGAGCATGGGACCTCAGATGTTCATCGACATAACTACACTATAGCTATGGAGTGTTCCCTTTCCTGTAGGTTATTGTGAATGTAAATGGTCTGCACAGGCTCAAATCCCTGGGTTCCCTCCAGAGGAAGTTCAACCATCCTTTAGATAAGCCAGTCCTTTATTAGTATAAAAGTGCTTCGTTAATAGTTATAATAGTGATATTAATAGTAGTTAATAGTGCACGCGCTGGGGTGTACGGTTTAACCATGTCCTGGATGTAGGAAGGGCCAGATCCATTCGCAGCACGGTAAGCAAGTACCAGTGTCTTGAAGTGGATTCTAGCAGTTACCGGAAGCCAGTGAAGGGAGCGGAGGAGCGGAGTGGTGTGGGAGAATTTAGGAAGGTTGAAAACCAGACGAGCCGCTGCATTCTGGATGAGCTGCAGAGGTCGGATGGCACATGCAGGTAGACCAGCCAGGAGGGAGTTGCAGTAGTCTAGGCGTGAGATGACGAGAGCCTGGACCAGAACCTGAGTCGCTTTCTGAGTCAGCTGGGGACGTATCTTCCTGATGTTGTAAAGCGTGTATCTGCAGCAACGGGTTGTAGCAGCGATGTTTGCAGTGAAGGACAGGTTGTTATCTAGGGTCACACCCAGATTCCTTGCAGTCTGAGTCGGGGAAACAACTGAGGTGCCGATGTTGATTGTCAGGTCAAGAGTTGGACAATCTTTTCCCGGGAGGAAGAGCAGCTCAGTCTTGTCAAGGTTGAGCTTGAGGTGGTGAGCAGACATCCACTGAGAGATGTCAGCTAGACAAGCAGAGATGCGTGCAACGACCTGGGTCTCTGAGCGGGGAAAGGACAGAATTAATTGGGTGTCGTCAGCGTAGCAGTGGTAAGAAAAACCATGCGGGCTAATGACTGATCCGAGCGAGTTTGTGTACAGGGAGAAGAGGAGGGGACCAAGAACAGAGCCCTGAGGGACCCCCGTAGTTAATTGACAAGGGTCGGACTCAGACCCTCGCCAAGTCACCCTGTAGGTACGGTCTTTCAGGTATGAGGTGAGGAGGGAAAGTGCAGAGCCTGAAACTCCAAGTTTTTGGAGAGTGCGAAGGAGGATCTGATGATTCACCGTGTCGAATGCAGCAGACAGGTCCAACAGGATGATGACAGAGGAGAGGGATGCAGTTTTGGCAGTGTGCAGTTCCTCCGTGACAGCAATGAGAGCAGTTTCTGTGGAGTGACCTGCCTTGAAACCAGACTGGTGCGGATCCAGAAGGTTGTTCTGATTGAGATAACAGGAGAGTTGTTTAAAGACAGCGCGTTCAAGTGTTTTAGACAGGAACGGGAGGAGAGAGACAGGCCTGTAGTTTATAACATCAGACGGGTTGAGAGTGGGTTTCTTTAGGAGAGGGTTTACTCTTGCCTCCTTGAGACTGTTTGGAAAGTGACCAGAAGTTAGAGAAGTGTTGATGAAATGGTTGAGAAACGAGTAGAATATCAGGAGCGATAGTCTGAAGGAGGTTTGAAGGGATAGGGTCCAGAGGACAGGTGGTAGGGCGGGCAGAGGTAATGAGGGTAAGAACCTCACTTGGAGAGAGAGGGGAAAAGGAGGTTAGTGTGTTGGTGGAAGGAAGGTCTGGTGACCCAGCGGTGAGTAAAGGTGAGTCAGAAAAAGAAGAGCGAATATCATTCAACCTTTTTTTCAAAGTGGGTAACAAAGTCGCTTGACAGAAGTGAGGAGGGGGGAGGAGCTTTTGGAGGGTCCAAGAGGGTGGAGAAGATGGAAAATAGTTTTTTAGGATTGGAATAGGAAGATTGGATCTTATCTTGAAAGAAAGTGCTTTTTGCCTGAGAGATCGAAGCAGAGAAAGAGGAGAGGAGAGCTTGATAGGTTAGGAGGTCGTCACGGTGTTTGGATTTCCACCATTTCCGCTCTGCTGCCCTAAGGACGGTTCTATTAGCACGCAGTGCATCATTTAGCCAGGGAGCCGGAGGGGACTGACGAGCCTGCCGAGATGTGAGAGGACAGAGAGAGTCCAGAGTGGATGAGAGAGTAGAGAGGAGAGTTTCTGCAGCAGAGTTTGGTGGCAGGAGTTGGAACGAATCAGAGGAAGGGAGGGCTGAGAGCACCGACGAGGCAAAGGTAGAGGGAGAGAGGGAGCGAAGGTTACGGCGGACAAGTGTAGGATGGGAAGAGATTAGTTTGTTATGTTTGGAAAGGTATAGAGAGAATGAAATGAAGAAGTGATCGGATGTGTGGAGCGGGTTTACAGAGAGGTTAGAAGTAGCGCAGTTCCTTGAGAATATGAGATCAAGGACATTGCCAGCTTTATGAGTCGGTGGGGACGGAGACAGTGAGAAAGCAAAGGCGGTTAACAGAGATGTTAGTTCGTCTATCTTCCCCATCTGGAGGTTGAAGTCTCCGAGAAGTACAGCGGGAGGGCCAGTTTCAGGGATGTGTGAGAGGAGATGATCTAATTCCTCCAAGAAGTCCCCCAAGGCGCCTGGTGGACGGTAGAGAACAACAATGGTTAACTGTATAGGATGGGTTACTGTGACGGCATGGAACTCAAAGGTGGAAGGAATGAAGTTAGGTAGCTTGAAGAGGGAAAAGCTCCATTTGGGAGAGAGCAGGAGACCAGTGCCACCTCCTCTGCCAGTGGGTCTGGGTGTATGGGAGAAGGAATATGCAGTGGAGAGAGCTGCTGGGGTGGATGTACATGGTATAGGCTAAGGGGCGGGACATCTCTAAGTGGTTGACCAATCACAACAGAGCCGGCCAGCTAACCAATCAGAGCAGACTGGGCTCTGGTTTTGGACAGAGGGTGAAAAGAGGTGCTGCATGATTAAGAAAGAAACCAATGCAGGAAACGTTTTGGTCATATTGGTATTTTGTCGAGGGCATCAAACATCTACTTATGATGTTGTTTAGGCTTTTATAACTGTTCATTAGTCCGAATCAATACAACAATAGTGTGGTGCAGTGATGACCTATTTGTGTAGGCTGATCCGGACGTTAGCACCACGATGGCTCTCTCGATAAAAAGCAATAGGAGTTCTCTATTGGATACATGAATATTGCAAACAAATAAGCTCTGCTGCAAACACATTTATGATATTCATATGTGACGGTGGCATGTCTTGGCGTCACTACTGCTAAGCTAAAAGCGGTATGAGAACAATGAAGAGCTTTTTGAACATTAAAGCATGGAGACATGTCACAGTAGAGACACTAAACTAACTTAAATGACAATGAGCACACAAACAATCTTGGGTATTTCTTTCGTCAAAGGCAAGGCAAGGCAAGGCAAGGCAAGGCAAGGCAAGGCAAGGCAAGGCAAGGCAAGTTTATTTATATAGCACTTTTCAACACAAGGCAATTCAAAGTGCTTTACAAAAAATGAAAGACATTAAGAAAATGGCATTTAAAATCAGTCATTAAAAAGAAAACATAATAAAATAAACATTAAAAGAAAAAATAGATGGATAAAAGTTACAGTGCAGTCTAAGATATGAATATGTTTTTACATTAAGATACAACCAAGAGGGCTACTAATGGATCAGGAGACCTTTGTTCTGTCATGTTAACCTAACATATCAACATAGGTGCAAAACATATCACACTCAAGAACAAAGAACAAAAACACACCAGACTACCACACAACATCATTTTGTAGAGACAACTGGAGACATTGTGTCAGAGACAAACACTTACCGGCAGATGTATTATAGGCAGACACTCTGAGTAAGGGCAACATGGCAGAGCAGGAGAGAAGAAAGGAGAGCGCCATCCCGCCACCTGGATAACAGAACAGAGAGGAGAAGAGATGTCAAAGAGGAACTGGCAGGGAAAGAGACAGCTACCATAGAACCCCTGTATGTGTGGTTAGATCATGTTCTACTATGGAAGAGAGGAATAAATCAAGCTAATGTCAAACTTCCTGTACATTTTTGCAGAATCAAGGTTATGTAGAATGATACAAGCAATCACAGCTCATTTTGCAATAGTTGCACCAGTAGCTGAACGCCTTTAGCAACAGGGGATGCTTGCAAGTCAGTCACATTATAGCAAGCACAAATGAAAGGCCAGGGCGGGAGAACAGTCAGCTACAACAGATACTGAGAAAGAGTTGTGTATCAGATGTGGATGGTATGTAGGAGTTTGTTTATGGTTCTCACTGTGTAACACAAGTGTTTGGGGAAAGCCTTTCTCTAGTATTCTCCAAATACACACACATGCACCAACAGGACCTGTCCAAATATATGAATGAATGGGGAGATGTGGGGTCATTGGAGGTCTGTGCCTTGCTTAAGGGCACCTTGGAAGGAGGAGAACTGGCACCGAGATACTGCTGTCCCTGAACAAATTATTCCCAGAATAACAAAAGACATGTGCTTTGGGTAACAATGAGACAGTAGCCCATGTCTGAGAAGCATGCTGGGAAACTTTTCTGAAGTCTTTGACTGTGCTTTTCAGACAGAAACTACCAAGTGACTAAGCAAGTGTGCCGGTGAGTGTGTGACTTTGATCTCCCTATGTGGATTTGCCTACTCACTGTACATATTTCCGACTAAGAGGTGAAGCTCATTCATACAAAGTTTGAGAGCAAGCATCTCCCGGTTGGTTGTAATGGTCAAACAAGTGTGCGCTGTAGTTTGTCATACTACAGTGTGATACATCTACAATGTATTGTTTCAAGAGAAACAATACAAAACAACCAGACTCCAGCTTCAGTTCTTCAAGTGTTCTTTCATGGACTGACTCTCCATGAGTAAGACTGTTCCTGTCGTTGTGACATCCTCAGAGGATGGAGTAAATGAGGGCTTTTCTGTTGGTTATTGAAGCCAACAACAGAACAAGTGTTGTGCTTCTCTCAGTGTGTCGGCAGCGATTGTTTTTTTATTTCTTTTAATGTTATAATTTGTTGTTAGATGACAAAGTTTTCCCTGATTTAACATCACATTAGGCTCTCAACGTGCACCAGATGAATGGAAACTACTTACAAAATGTATAACATACTTTGAAAGACAAAGCGAGAAAAGAAAAATCTACAAATTCCATCAACACATGACTTCTTGTATGCATTTATTATTAATGATGATATTCAGTATTAAAGTAAAAAAAAGGTGTATGTTTTTAAAAAAAGAGAAAAGAGGCGACTTCCGGAATGAAGAGTGAGGAGTAGACGTGTTTTACTCCGCTCCCTCGCTTCCAACTTTTTTATTAGGTAGAAACCTCATTACTCACTTCATACTTACACTAGTCGATACATAACAGCTGAGCAACTTTATACCTTAAGGAGACATGCCACCAAAGCCCGCAAAACAAGTCAAGAAAGACTCTATGCCTACGGAGAACGTCGCTACTAGCGACGTTAGCATGGAGGCGCTAACCAGCTTGTTGGAGAGCCATAAAGTGTCCCTCTCAACGGAATTCAAAACTGTCATCGCCGCACTCGAGTCCAAAATTGATCTGATTCATGCTACTATCTCTGATCATGGGCAGCGTATTACCTCTTTGGAGTCGAATGCGGATTTGGTCGACGGGCGCCTGTCGACTTTGGAAGCTACATGCGCGGAGCTAGCCGCTAGCAATGCTAAGCTGCGGGCGAAAACTGCAGACCTCGAGGCCCGCAGCCGCCGCAAGAATATCCGCATCATTGGTCTCCCGGAGTCGATTGAGGGCCCGTGACCAACCGCCTTCTTCTCCGACCTACTACCCCAGCTTCTGGGGGACCAAATCCTGCCTACTTCTCCTGAACTGGTCCGGGCTCACAGGTCGTTAGCCGCGAAGCCGAAGCCTGGGGAAAGACCGAGGCCTGTCATCATCCGATTTCACAACTTCCAGACCAAGGAAAGAGTCATCCGTGAAGCCCGGAAAATGAGAGCGGATCTACGGTACGAGGGGAAACCGATTGCCTTCTACGAAGATTATATTCCCGAGGTTGTGATGCAGCGAGCTCTGTACCGCGAGGTGATGGCGCAGCTGTATAAACTCGGACTCAGGCCTGCTCTCCAGTACCTGGCCAAGCTAATGATTACGGCGGAGAATGGAGACAAAGTTCGGCTGTCATCTGTCGAGGAAGCTAAGAAGTATCTTGGCGCTAAACAGAGATAGCAGGGCTCGACATTAAGGATGGCCCGGGGCCATCTAGTATTTAGCTTGGGCAATGAAGCCTCACCTGCTGGTTGCCCGATCGGGCAATCTATTATGCCAGTATCATGCAGCTCGTGGATCCAGTAATGAGTGAGCCGACAGTAAAACTAAACATATCTATAACTAGTGTAGGTAGTTTGAGAGGTAATTAAAATAGCTACGTGTGATATTCTAACCTGAAGTGTGTGTTTTGTCCGCTCACCGCTGCATGTGATCATGCAGAGCTGCGTGTCGACTCGTCAGCAGCAGCTGATCTCTCTCTCCCGGTCAGATTAGACTTCACTCGCGTTTATGTCCATATCGATCAGATCCAGCTAGTTCTAGCTAATGATATGACTACCTGCTTATTAAAAGACACCTACACAATAAGTGTCGCTATGCAACTGGGTGAGGCCACAAAGTATAGCGCAGCATTATTCATTTGTTTACATGCCCACCGGAACCCCGAGGCATTACCAACAGATCAACGCACAATCAACCCATACAAGACTTCTTTCTCCACATTAATTGTTAGACATTAGAATTGACTATTCTTGTCTGTCACATACTCTTTTGTCTGTCACATAAGTGGCGCAACTGAAGCGGTATTGTGCTAAAGGGAAATTATTTTGACCGGACATTTTGACAAAAGAGATTTAGATTTGCCGGCTAACGTCGCCATTTTGTGGGCTTCGCGGATGCGCTCGGCTCCTCTCGACTGCTGCTCGGGTCTGCTCGGTCAGCTTCCGGATGAGGAGGCATTCGTTCGACTAACTTACAGTAGATAACATTTTTAACAGGGGCCATAATAGTGTAAAAAACGTTTGTTTTGGCAGTTACAACTGAATGTAATGTTTTCTACTCTTTTACATCTGGGAAGGCATTTGCCTTCATCAGATGGAAAGTGTCTTGACCAACAACTTAAAAGAGTGTGGCACTCTGACCCACTCAACCCTGTTACTGATATTATCAGAATAAAGCATATTAATTTCAAAGTCATCTTTCTTGCATTAGATATCCAAGTTTGTCCTTGCCTTGAAAGTAGCATTACATGCTACATCTAGCAATAATTCCTGAGGTTAAAGCTAAAATTAGCATTGATTTTCAACCCTGTTACTTTCAATCCTGTTACTATAATTAGAGTAACGGGTTATTCTTCATTGGAAAATATTAATTTGATGCCTAGCTGGGCAAATCACTTTTTTTTATGGTTTATTATCTGTTTTTCCTAAATACATAAAAAAACATTATAAAATAAAAGGTTCATTTTTCAAAAATGTTGGTGTCTAAATTGTCCTCCAATTCTGGAATGACCCTTAAGTATTTCTTATAGCTATGCAGGGCATGCAAGCGAGCAAACACAAACAAGAACAAACAAACAAGTGAAATGAAGAATACAATTGAAATTGTACAATATAATATTGTGGTGGTTCATCTTATAATTCAGTCTAGAGAATGCACCAGACAGCATCTAAGACCTGCAAACATCTACATGTTCTAGGGGGAGGCCCCCCAAACCCTTCGTGCGTCATTTCGTCCGCACGCATTTTTCAGGGCAATCTCTATTGGGCTCAGGGCTATCTGTAAATTAGCTTAGATGGCCCAAAATCCTTAATGTCATGCACTGGGTAGCATGCACTGCTATAAAACACAGTATCTATGGTCGGCCCATCTGCTAACTTGCCACATTACTGAGTGGTCTAACTTAGCTGCTCGTTAGCATAGCTGAACTGTACGGCAACTAGTCATGTTACTCTACGAAGGACTCCCTGTAAGCAAATTTTTACGTAGACTGGTCACTGTTTCTAAATATAGCACTTTAAGTTGAATGTCAGTCTCACTGTTTACATACGTTTGTGATTAGCTGGTTGTGCTCAGATAATTGGTGTTATTCTGCCAGGTTGATGTCGGTTATGGTAGCTAACTCAGGGGTTTTTATGGGGAATTTGTTCACTGTTCAATATAGAGGGAACGGAGGTTAAGTAAGGGAAGGATAGGACTGACCCACGTCAGGAAGGTTTGTATCCAAGGAGATACACATGTTTGATGTTCCCAATGGGACTGGGGTGTGTGTGTGTGTGTGTGTGTGTGTGTTTCTCCCCCCCCCCCCCCAATTTCCTGTTTTCTCTCTCCCCCTCCCCTTTTATTTTATTCTCTGCTCAGGTTATGCCACAATTTAAAGGACTATGTCAGTGAGTGGTAGAAATATCCGGTTTATTTCCTGGAACATTAAAGGGATGAACAATATCACCAAAGCCAACAAGGTAATTTCACATTTGCAACACCTTAGAGGAGACATCTGCTTTTTACAAGAGACACACCTCCGTACGGCGGAAATGTCTCGCGTCAAGAGGCCATGGATGGGTCACTTGTTTCATTCGAGGTTTTCTGAGAGGGCTAGAGGGGCAGCTATCATTATACACAGGGATATTGCCTTTGAACTAAACACTGCTGATCCGAACGGCCGGTACGTTATAGTATCTGGCAAATTACAAAATACACCTGTGATCCTGGCCTCGCTATATGCTCTGAATTGGGACGATGACAAATTCATATCCAAATTCTTTACTTCTATACCTAATCTCAATGAGCATCAAATTATAATTGGAGGTGACTTTAATCTGGTCCAGGATATAGAGCTTGATAGATCGTCCACTAAGCAG